AGCCCTCTTCAGGCCTGAGAACGCAGTGAGCGCTCAGGAAATGTCCTACACCTACGGATCCCCTTTCAAGAAAGATTTTAAGTCCCATTAATAAAAACCCCATCATTGATTTTTTTTTTTCCTTCTGCCTTTGGCTCACACTTATTAAAACTTTCCACAGGATAAGCATGTGTCAGTGGCTCTGCGCGCCTCATCTCATTGGAGAGTTCCAGCAAACCTAGGCAGTGGGCACTATTAGTGTGCCCATTCTACAGATGGCCACATTGAGGAATGAAGAGGGTATGGGACTTGCTAGGGATTAAGACCCAGACCTGCTGGACTCAGGATGTCGTGGTTGGCACCTTACAGAGCAATCCCATTCTGTGTGGGTAGAGAGTGAGGTCCAGGTATGGAAGCAGCTAAGACAGAAGCCCTGAAGATGAATCAGAGCCAACCTTGAAGGGCATCCTTTGAAAACGGTGACAGCAAAGACCCAGATGCATACATCTCCTGGGTGGGTGGTGTCAGAAACAGGGCAGCCAGGAGCAGAGGGATTTGGGAATGCTTCTTTGGAGAGGGGCAGGGGAACAGCCATGTTGAGTGAGGAGATTGTGACATCTCTGTTTACTGAGTGAATGAAGGAAGGCAATCCAAGCACAGATTCTCACCCCATGGAAGGTACTTGGGTGTCTCTAGGACCTGGAGGCTGAGAAGATGCTGACCTTTTAACCTCCTCCCATTTCCAGTAGGCTGTGGAGTTAGATAGCTATACCTCTAGGCAAGTTGTACAAGCCTCAGTTTTCACCATCTGTAGAATGACTTGCTATGAGGATTAAAGAGGCCAATGAGCATAAAAGTCCTCCACATTGTTTGTAGAATGCTGGATAAATGGTGCTTCCTGTTAATATTATTAGTTGTGAGGCAAACTCATCTTTATATGAGTTTGCTAATTTGTACACAAAATTCATTCATCCAATATTTATGGAGCCTTTAAAACACTGAGTGGCCTGGCAAAACGCCATGAGGCACACGGGAAAATCTAGAACCCAGTCTACACTACCGTGCTTTTGCATGTGTTGTTCCCTCCACATAGAGCAACACCTTCCTTCTTCTTAGCTTCTCCTTGTCTTCTGAGACCAAACAGTTGGTAGTGGGCATACCAGGGAAAGATTCCCAGAGAAAAGCACACTGGGTGGCCCCTCCCAGGCTCCCTCAGCCCTTCCATGCCTTCCCACTCTGACCCCACCAATATGAGGCCAGAAGTAGGGCTGGGTCTTTGGAGCCAGAAACAGTGTGTATCACATATAGTAGGTCTTCAATGAATGCTTCCTGAGTAAGTATATGAATGACTGCAGGAAGGAACCAGATGGCCCTTGGGACTTGCAGCCTCAGGGCTCTGCTACGACCTAGCAAGTGAATTGCAAGTGGCAGGAACAATGGGACTCCACATAAAGAAGGAAATGAGAGGAAGCAGAGGCAAGGCCTACACAGGATGGTCTCCCATGGGTTGGTGTGAGGTAAGCTTGCGGTTATGTAAGCTTGCGTGTATAACCAGGGCAGGCAGTTGTGTGTGCATGTATGAGGGGACACATGCTCATGGGAAGTATCTGAATGCAGGTGAGAGTCTGCATGTATGTGCTGGAAAGTAGGATGTGACTGTATGTGGAACATGCCAATATGTGTGACCTTGGGTACATGTGACCTTGTAGGTGAGGTGTCAGGTAGAAACACATGTAGGTGTGTATGTGTGATGCAGTTTTTTTTCAGTGTGCAGATGATGTTTTGTTTTTAATTTTTTTATTTTATTGATTTTTTACAGAGAGGAAGAGAGAGGGATAGAGAGTCAGAAACATCGATGAGAGAGAGAAATCGATCAGCTGCCTCTTGCACACCCCTCACTGGGGATGTGCCCACAACCAAAGTACATGCCCCCGACCGGAATCGAACCTGGGACCTTTCAGTCCACAGGTTGATGCTCTATCCCCTGAGCCAAACCAGTTTCGGCCTGCAGATGATGTTTTATTGAGTTGTATACTTGAAACCTGTATGTTTTTGTGAACCAATGTCACCCCAATAAATTCAATAAAAATAAAAAGAGGGAAAATCTGTTTCAATTTCTGGGTTCAAATGTTAATACAAAGAAGCATTTTAGTATGATGAGAAGTCTGGGTTTTTAAATTGCTACTTTTAAATTTATTGTTGGCAGTATTACAGTTGTGTGGTGTAGTTTTATGGCATGTGTAGTTGTTTACTTGCATTCATGGACACACTCCTGTGAAGCTATTTACATAAGCATGTTTCTGTATGCATCATCATTAACCTGTTCAAAGGGGCTGCTTAGAGTGTCCAGGCAAGTGCTTATCTGTAAGTCACGTTTGTACACACATAACTTGGCATGTGCTTATCTGTATACATATGTGTTTCTTAGAGATTTGGGATCCTAGCATGAATGTATGAGTACATACCTGTATTTTTAGGGCATGGGCAGATTTTTATGAAACAGGGATATTGTGAACACACATCAAACACATGTGGATATGTGTGTGTATATACATATACAGACACAGACTCATATTGCAGGGACCATGTCTGTGAAGTCAGTCTGTGTCCTGTATACATGCCTGTGCATGTGTTAACATGGGCATGTGAATGTGCACATTTGTCCATGTGTGCAGTCACAGGCATGTGGTTTTCATAGAACCTTGCTGGATCCTGAGCCTTTCTCTCCACACAGGGCAAGTCTGAGTATGAGGGTGCCAGCTCATGTGTGTACAGGTATGGGTGCATGTGGGTGTGCCCCTGGGTGGGTGGTCAGGTATATCCTCAACTCCAAGGATGAGCTCAAACCCACGGAAAGCCCTCCCAGCCCAGCCCCCCTGCTGTACTGTGACCTCTCTCCTCCCATTCTCCCCTTCCACTGTCATCCCCAGTGCTCCTAGCATGTCCGTCACTTCCCACTTCTCCTGGTTTCTCCCCCAGCTCCTCCCAGCATCATACTGCTCCCCTGACACCTCAGGATTGTACCCAGCCTTGCCCCCTCCACCCCAGCGACTCCCCTCCACTCTGCTGTGACTCCCTCCCAGTAAGTTCTATAGTACCATCCAACACAACTCTTCCCCCAGACATCCATTTCAGGAAGCCTCACCCTTCTTACTGCTCACTGCCCCCCTCACACCACCCCCGCATCCCAGCCTCCTGTTAGCGTCAGAGTTAAGGATGAGATTCTCCCCCTCGCTAACTAGGCAAACCTTCCAGAAGAACCCAACTCAGAGAATGTGAGGCAGAGGTGGGAAGAGCAGAAAATCAACCAGGAATAACCACATAGGCTTCCTCCTCCAGTGCCAACCCACCCAACCCCTCACCTCCCCTAAGTGCAAGGCAACTTAGAAAAGGGAGGGGCCGGTAGGGGCCTCTTAGGCCTCGTCTGTGGAAGTTGCATAGAGGAAAATGGGGGTCCCCTCCACCTCTCCACTCCCCTAACTCCGTAAGCCAAGAGCTGGCTGAGTAGACTTTTGATCTTGTGGGCCCTTCTGCCACCAGCCCCGCCTTCGGGAACGAGCCCGGGGAAAGGAGGCCCATGTCCCTTTAAGAACACCAGCGTCCACGCCAGCCCAGCCCCGCGCGATCTGCACACGGAAAGCACCGCGGCGGGGAGCAGGAGGGCGGGGCTGGGTTTGTGAATGGAAAGGCCGAGGGGGAGGTGTAGGAGGGGGAGGGGCGGCGGGGACCATTCCGGGCTCCCGGGCCTGCCCACTGGGATCTAGGCTGAGGCCGCGACACACACACACACACACACACACACACACACACACACCGCTGCCTAGGGTCTCCGAAAGCCTGGGGTCTCAGACTTGGCTGACACACCTCTTCCCCCACCCCAGTCTTCTGGAAGGGAGTAGGGGTTGGGGAGGCGGACCCCTGTCCCTAATACCCCCATGGTGAGACCTCTAGAAGCCTGGTGCCCCCGTTGGCCACCACCCTGCCGCTCAAGGCCTCCCAAAGCCAGAGTTCTCTCTCAGCAGGAGTGCCCGGGACGCCTGGGTCCTGGAGGGCTGGCTTCTCCCCCACCCCAGCCTTCTGAGGTGGGGACCGCCTGGCCCCTCCCGCGTCTCTCTCCCTCCTCCAACCCAATGCAGAGCATAGCAGAGCATAGCCTGGGCGTGGGCCTTGGTATACAGATGGCGTTCTGGCCCCAAAATAGCTTCACCCCACCTCTTCTTCCCTCTCTTATGCACAAAATGGGTGAGGTGAGGAGGATGGGCTGGGAGGGGTTGGGGGGGGGGCAATGTACCTCCAAGAGGTCGGCTCCCTGCAGAGAAGGCCCTACACGCGTGTTGAAGTGCCAGAGGGGTCGGAGAGCCGGGAGGCCCTCAGCTACTCCCCCCAGACCCCAGTTCGGGAAGCCAGAGTTAACTGAAAAAGCGCCCCAAGATCCCAATCACAGACCTCTCAGGGCGTGGGGAGAGGTCTCCCCAGCACCTTCCCAGTCCTCTCCACAGCCAGAGCTGGGGGGTGTACCAGAGCTCGCGGGTGTCCTAGGGACTGAACCCTCTTACCCAAATCTTACACGCCCTGGGGTGGAGACCCTCCTCCTGCACTCACTCCCCTTCCAGTTCGGAACTCAGTCCGCGTGGGTCTGGACCCGCCGCCCACAGCATAGGACTCCTTCCTAGGACCCCGCAGGGTTCATTCCAACTACCCAGGCCAGCCCCTTCCCCGGGGGCCCCCACATGACCCGTTCTGCACAGATGCCCCGGTCTGGACGGTTCCAGAGAGAGCCCCAGATCCCCGCTGGCGTGCACACCGCCCCCCGCGTGCAGCCGCGACCCCCCGACCCCCAGCAGCTGCGCCTGCACTGATCGGGCGCCCCGACGCGCCACGGGGGCTACAGCCTCTGCGGACTTGACCAGCCGCGTGAGTCCCGCTCAGCGCCCCTCCCAGCCGGCGCCCAGCCGCATCCACACGGACCCCGAAGCCCATGGGGTCCCCACCGGCCACCACCCCGCAGCCTGGACTCCTACCTCCGACGCAAAGTAGCGACATGTCTGCGGGGCCGCCGGCGGGCGGGCCGGCTCCGTCGGGCCGGGCTCAGCAGCCGCGGGGCTGGTGCATGGCGGGGCCGCCGCCCGCGCTCGGCTCACGCCGGGGCCCGGCCTCCGCCGCCGGCCATCTTGCTTCAGCACCGGGGGCGCGGACAGCGCCTGACGTGCTGCTGACGCAAGGCGGTGGGCGGGGCCGGGGACGCCTGATCCCCGCGGCGGGGGCGGAGGAGCGGGGAGGGGCCCTTAAAGGGCCCGCACCGGGCAGGGGCTCCCCAAACGGAGTGATGGAGGGCGGGTTCCTTTCTGGTTCTCGTGTCTTTCCGAGTCGTTCTGTGGGTTTGCTGTCTCTGTTCTCCCTGAGAATCTCTATTTCTCCGACTCCGTCTCTGCCTCTGCCTTTGTTTTTCTATTTCTTGGTCTCCCTGTTCCTCTGAATCTTTGTCTCCATGTCTTTCTCCATCGTGTGTCTCCCTCTGAGCCTTTCTGTCCAGTCTCTGTGTCTCTGCCATGGCCCAAGTCCCTCTCTGCGTGTCTGTTTCACTCTCTTTAAGCCACTCAGCCCCTGGATCTGCGCATACGCTCGCACTGGACCCCATCTTCACTCCCTTGTAAAACTGGAAAACTCCTATTCATCCGTCTGTGGTGAGTTCAAACACACCCTCCTCCAGGAAGCCTTCCCTGATTCGCCCACACTGAGCCTTTGCTTGCGGGATGACCCCAGCCCCCCGTTTCTTCTGGTTGGGCCCTGTCCCATCACTACCCCTCCCTGCACATCGAGCTGGTCAGTTCCATGTAGGTCGGTGCCCCCCGAAAACCTGTTTACTGTATATTTCTAGTGCCTAGAACAGCGCCACAGGTCGTGGGTGTCACATGCATTTTTCACTGCCACACAGTACTCATTCAAATAAGTACACCATTGGTTATTCGCCTATTCTTCCGTTGGTGGACATTAACATTCCACTTTGGGTTTATTACAACCAAAGATTTCAGGACCATTCTTAGAAATATAGGCTGGTAAACACGGGTAAGGCTGGCTGATTACAGAACACCCACATGCTCAGCGTCACAAGATAACATCAAATTGCTTTTCCGTGTTGCTTCAGCGGTTTACATTGGACCACCATCATGTAAGCATTCGGTTGCTGCACGTTTTTGCTAACACTTTTAATTGCCCAGGTTTTTATTTTTATTTTTTATTTTTAATATATTTTATTGATTTTTTACAGAGAGAAAGAGAGATGGATAGAGAGTTAGAAACATTGATGAGAGAGAAACATTGATCAGCTGCCTCCTGCACACCCCCACACTGGGGATATGCCTGCAACCAAGGTACATGCCCTTGACTGGAATCAAACCCGGGACCCTTCAGTCCGCAGGCTGACGCCCTATCCACTGAGCCAAACCGGTTTCGGCACCCAGGATTTTTAATTGTGCCAAAGTGGAAGGGGTGAAGTGGTACTTCTTTTTTGGCTTTGGTTTGCTCTCTGATTGTTCATGAGGTGGAACTCTATATGTAATAATTGGTTTCTTCTTAGGGTGAAATGTCTATTCAAATATTTTATGCATTTTTAAATGTTGACCCCTTTTCTATTTTTTTTGTAATTCTTTATACATATTAGATACAAATCATTTGTTGGTTTCATGTGTTGTAAAATATCTTCAACTCTGAGGCTTCCCCTCTGCCCCCATTCTATTAATGGGGTCATTTTCTGAACAGAAGCTCTTCATTTTTTCAAATCCTCACCCAAGGATATGTTACTATTTTTCCCCTTGCCTTACCCTGTTCCTTGTTAGCAAATTGCTAAACTCAAGGAGAAGGAATTGTGCTCCACCTCCTAGAGTGAGAGTTTCTACAAAGCTCTTAATTTAATTTTTTATTGCTATAAAATGCACACAACAAAATTGACCATTTTAATGATTTTATTGCTTTTTAAATCCTCACCTCTGAGGACTTTTTTTTCCCCATTGATTTTTAGAGAGAGCAGAAGGGAGAGGGGAGGAGGAGGAGTAGAAATAGGAGGAAGAGGAGAAGGAGGAGGAGGAGGAGGAGGAGGAGGAGGAGGAGGAGGAGCAAGAAGAGGAGGAGGAAGACGAAGAGAGAGAAACATAGTTGTATTTCACACTTGCTCCAGCTGGACCTGGGAACAAACCTGCAACCCACGTACATGCCCAGGAATAGAACCGGAGACCTTTCAGTGCTCAGGCTGATGCTCAACCACTGAGCCACACTGACCAGGGCCATTTTAAGCATTTTAAAGTATACAATTCAGTGGCATTTTGTCCATTTACAATATTGTGCAACCACCACTTGTATGTAGTACCAAAACATTTCCATCACCCCGGAAGGAAAACCTGTCCCCGTGAATAGCCACTCCTCATCCCTTCTCCCCCAGTCCCTGGACACTGCTACTCTGCTTTCTGTCTCTGGATTTATGATAAATCTTTTCCTTTGCAGTACTCACACTGTGTCTTGTGTAAGGAATTCTTATTTGCCCCAATTTCATAAAGATATTCTCATAGCATCTTTAGAGTTTTGTTATTTACAGTCAAATCTTAGCCTCTTTGGGGATAGATTGGGGAGTGTGAAGTGTAATAAAGTCAAATTGCATATTTTTTCCACGTGGACAACCCACCATCCCAATACCTTTAAAGGAAACTGTCACAAAGACGTTTTTATACATGCATACTTAATAATGAACAGACCAACTGTTAAGTCCACGGTCCAATGCTCTACCCACTGAGCCAAACCAGCTAGGGCAAGATTGCATTTTTTTTTAAATTGGTAAGTTGCAGAAGCATAGAATGCAATTGGCTTCAGCATCTAAAAAAAGCTTTCTCAATTTTTGTAAATCTAGTACATAATTATATCAATATTTGCAGATCCTTTGGGGTTTGCATTGTATTTACAGATAGCATCTGTAAATAAAAACTCTTTTTTTTTTTTTCCTTCTCCCTGTCTTTGAACCATGCATTTTTTTCCTGTCTTCTTGCACCAGCCAGGGCCATCAATACAATCTCAGACACCATGACAACAGGCATCCTGGCTTTGTTCCCCATCTTAAAAAGGACATTACAATATTCACCATTACATATGATATCTGGTATAGGTTTGTTTGTTTTTTTAATATATTTTATTGATTTTTTACAGAGAGGAAAGGAGAGAGATAGATAGAAACGTTGATGAGAGGGAAACATCGACCAGCTGACTCTTGCACACCCCCCACCGGGGATGTGCCCACAACCAATGTATATGCCCTTGACTGGAATCTAACCTGGGACCCTTCAGTCCGCAGACCGACGCTCTACCACTGAGCCAAACCGGCTTCGGTCTGGTGTAGGTTTTAATAGAAAATCAAGTTAAGGAGGTTCACTTCTATTTCCAGTTTGCTAAGATTTTTTCCCCCTTTTATCAAACATAAGTGGTGAATTTTAGCAAATGCATTTTCTGCATCATTGGGACACCTAAATAACATTTCACCTTTAATCTGTTAAGATGAATTACATCTCTCGCTATGCTTAATGCACATTGGTCTCTGTTATTCTCTGTCTCTCTTATCCACACCTCTTCTCCCTCCTGCCAAAGCCCTTGATAAACTGATCACTCGGATCCAATTAATTTTAAAGTGCCAGTGCCCATTTTACTTCCATCACCAGCTCACCTTATTTCAAAACTATTTATTTGAGCTATCTCATCTCTCCACTTGATTATGCCATGCTGTCTCGATCTTTCCCTTCCAGGCCTTTCTCCGTGGATCTCTCTTTCCCTTACTCTCCTCACTATGCATCTACATTCACATCTTTAGCAAACTCTCTCAGGCTCTCTGACTTTCCATCTCTTTTCTCTCTTGGCTTCTGATGTCTTGGTCTCTTGCCACCATCTTATAAAATCCACAGAGAAAACACCATTGAAAGATAAGTGATGGGAAATGGTGCACAGCTGATGAAAAGTACAACACACATACAGAGATATAGAAATACCACCCCCACCCCCCACCATCAGATGCACAAACTCTCCTCTCCAATGTCTGAGCTCCTGGTCATCCCCAGGGACCGTGCTCTTATCAAAATTTGCCCATCCCTTGTGGGAGAGCAGCTATGGAGACATCTGGGCTTCAGACAAGAAGGTTCCTTGTCTGCTGAGCTCAGCTTTGTAATGGAGAAGGAGCAGAGCTTATTCTAGAAGCCTCAACCCAGGGCAGTCCTGCTTGGTTTTCAAATAAGTTCCTAATATTTCCTGAGTATGTTTGATGTCTCTGGCACTGTGCAAAGCTCCACAGAAGGGACAGATACGAGTCAGATGTCAATCAATTTGTTCAGCAAACGTTTGTTGGGGTCAGAGTGTAGACAGAGGGTAAAGGGCCACCTGGCTTCCAGGACCCAAACTAAGACATCAACCCCAGGAGTCTGCCCTCCACATGCTTGTTCACCCCCCAACTCCAGTGGCTGTTACCCAGCAGCAAGTGATGGTGAGTACAGGGAACATGGAATTCAGAGCCCCTGGGAGTGCCAGATGCTCTCCTCCTCTTCTGGAAGTTCTATTGTCCATGGCCTTGCCCTGGCTGCTGGGTGGGGTGGGGGCGGGGGAGTACTGAGAGGAACTAGGACATGAGGATCTCTTGACTGGAGAGGGGATTGGGATAGGCCTACTATCCCAATGTGCTTGGCAATGTGTGGCGTGACTGACATCTGCTATCTCCTTTAAACTCAATCTCTAAGGTCAGGGCTGGGACAAAGAAAAGGAGAGGGACTGGGAGGTGGTGGAGGAGGCTCTGTTTGGGATGTTGGGAAAGGATTCGAGGAGGAAGAAGGAAGCTGGAGGGTGAGGAGGTTTGGTGAGCATGGCAGGGCTTGGAGGAAGGGCATTCCTGGCAGAAGGCATGGCAAGGGCAAATGCCATGCTGGACGTCCTGATCTACCTAGTTGTTGCCTTCAGGCCCACAGTGACAAAGAGAAATTAATGAAGACGACCTTGGTTTGTCACCTATAAAATGGGGATACCAAAAAAAATAATTGTTTCCTGGAGAACTAATGATACGAGGGCAGTGCTGACCCCGTGTAAATTTTGGGACCTGACGTGCAGGGCTGGAGAAAGTAAAGCAGTTGGGTTGGCCAGGAGGATGAGATGGGGCGAGATATTGGGGGAGGG